ATGTTAATTTTGCTGGCGAAGCTCTCGATCAAAATCCCCCGGCAGGATATTAAGGTTTTTAATTAAAATATAATTTAGTCACAGCAAAATCATTTACCTACTGTGTCGTGAACGTCGAGGATTAAATCGAAGGGTAAATTTTCTTGATGTAAACTATCTCCGCGGGTTGAGCGGGATTTTCCGTAGCGTTTTACACGCTTGTTAAAACATCGACAAAGTCTAAAAGGGCAAACGTTTCCTGGTTTAGATTAATCAATCTTTTGACTTCCGGCTTGGAAGAGGAATGTTATTCGAAACAACAGCGATATTCCCGAAATAAGCCGTCAAACTGTAACTGAACTGTTACTAAAAGCGATGCAGCCGTTTACAGTTCCATTATGAGACTAGCTGCTAATTATTCGCATACAATTAGTTATGCTACTAGAGTTATTTAATCGCTGGTTGAGTATTTTGAAATTTTTAAGTGACGACTTTCCTTGAATCCGAAAATATCAACATTGCGCTCTTCGCTGTGTAATAATATTGAACACTTTAAATTATGAAACAAAATCAAAATATCGAGAAAAATATATTAGTTCAACACTTCTAATTTCAGTCTCTTGACCGTAAAAATAATTGTGTATTCAAAAAATAAAGTGATTTTAATTAGTTTCGAAGTTTCAAAAACACCGTGATTCAGTAGAGAAAATTTGCAATTTTGTGCATTGCAAATTTGCAGTTTCTATCGATTCAGAACAGACCATTAAAAATAACATGGACATTTGAAAGAAACTGCACAACTAATTGTGCTAACTAATAGAAAATAAAGCAACTGACAGTTTATATTCTATTCTAACAATAATAGACTAACCTCAGCCCTAGCTCTTATCTTAATAGCACTAGTAGTCTGTGAGAGAACATTCGTCCAACTTACCTTTTTATCAACGTAAATAGCAAATAATAAAAATGAAAATAGGACGATACTAAAATAAAATAAGCATAAAGCTATTATGCAGCTTCAATTTACGAGAACTATTCCATAAAAATTAATCAAATCCGTTGCAAAATTAAAAGTGCAACACGAAAGCAATGTTAAAGCACTATGTTGTGAACTATTAAGAATACTGGTTAGAAAATAACCAATAAAGCAGTTTTTTTAAAGCTTAATTAGATAGACCAATCCATGGAAAGTCGACAGACGTTAATTCTTGTTACCTGTAATGCCAATAGGTCAGTCATTATTGATGTTCAAAAATGATGAAGGTTTTTATTCTAGAATTCTTTTTGTTTGTAGATAATTGTTGAAACAACTTTTCCATCCCGTAGTGCTGTAATCACTTATTTTGACAAACAAAAAAGACAAGGTTTCTTTATTTTAATTGCAAATTTAATGTTTTCGAAGATAATACTTCAATGAAAGTGGCTGTGCTATAAAGCTATACTTGAGTTCTAATGAATTTTGGTCAAAGTTCTATAAAACAACGTGCCATCTTAATTCAACTGTTGATTGGTCTCAACGTTGACTGGACGGTAATTAGTTTTCCAGATGAAGATATGAAATAATGCTGTACAGGAAGAAATTTTTAGACGATTTTTTGCCTTGAGTTCTTTGACCACACTAACAGCTTCCCATTGCAGAAAGTACGTTCACCGAAGTTAAAAACTACACGGAGCAAATATGTCGCTATATGTTTTCCACCTAAAATACGTTAAAAATGTATGTGTAATACCTTCAACCAAGCTGATTACGGAATGCTCCCGGAAGATGTTTCCCAAATGCCTTTAAAGATGCCACAGCGGTTCTGGTAATTAAGAAGGGTGACCCGGGAAATTACAGGCCAATTTTCCTACTTCCTACTTCCTCCTTCCTAGTGGAAGGTTGTATCTCCAGACAAATAGGTAAATGTCAAATTCAGAGTATGACCTTTTCGCTTATGCAGTGGGATTATCATAGACAGTAGGTACATAGCAGGCGACTTAAAAGCGGTTTCGTTAAGATGTTTTCTTTAATTAGTTGATCTCTATGGATACTTACTTAAACTTAAACAGACGTTTTAGAAGACTTGGAGGTACAAGGTACTTTTACAAGAGTGATTCGGCTAACTAACGTTATCTTTGTTTTCTCAGAAAATAAACCGCAATTTTAGAACAATTTTTAAACATTTTGATTCTCAGAGATGTTCACTAGTCATTCCTTGGCTCCAGAGTTCTGATCAAAGAAAATTATCCAGTTGTGGTTAAAATGTCCTATATTTGCATGGTAAAGAAAAATACATGTGAATAGACTATCAATGTATTGCAGGTCAACATTACATTCGTCTTAAAGTATACAAATCGAATGGTTTGGAAGCTTTATTCACAGAGAGCGATTTCCATGTCCTTATGCTAGAGTTTATGGTGCATCTGTCGATGTACCGCTATTATTTTAATTTTTTGTACAATTTTTATTTCACCACTATATAGACATATAGTTGCGTGTAATGTAAAATCGAATAAACAATGTGTATTCAAATAGATATAATAATTTGTTTATGTAATATTTCCATTTGTTAGCACCGCGACTTAATTGTTATGCGGGTTATCAGTCTTCTCGTCTACTAATACCCGTGAATCGTTTTTTTTATTTCTTTATATTTTATAAGAAGAAACGAGCCTTTGCTCATCTGCATATAGTTTGAATATAAATTAAAACTCGAATACCGGAAACCGAGATACTAATTTTCTAACAGCGTTCCTACATATTAGTTTTACGCTTCTTATCTCATATTGTCAAAAGATTTCTAATTTAGTCATTTCGATAGCAAAGAAATAATTTATTTTTTAACAAAAATAATTGAAAAATTTATAGTGCTATACTAAACTGATACTAATCTTGAACTTGCACTTTGAATCCACTCTTCACCGCACGTTTTTAAATGACTGCATTTTTAGCGGTTTTATCTTTTAGATAGATTGAGATAAATTCCTGTTTTAGTTTCGGATAGTTGTTTTAGCATAAGTACTTCCAACATAGAGGGTGCTTACAGGAAGTTAAAGTATAAAAATATATTAATATTTAAGCTGAAACCTTTTATCAGCAATAGATTGGAATTGATTTCAGATTTCATTCATAATTTGATAAAAATATTCGGAAATCCCCTACTGCTTGAGTAAACTCTGAAATTAATCTTTGTACACTTTCAAACCTTGAATTATTGCTTCTTCTTTGTTTAAGCTTCTTTTAAATCCTTAATTTTAACGAAATATCTACATACTTGACCCTTTATCCCAGGGTGTTAAATCATTGTAATTTCAGCGATGTTATATTTGAGATAGATTGAAATAAATTATTGTTGTTATTTTGGGTTAATTGTTTTTGTATGTTCCTCCTGTATTTTGTTCTTGCTCTTGGTTAACATCTTTAATTCAGATTAAATGCCTTGTTTTGTTTGACTTAAATATAATCTTCAAGAAATTACTACAGTTGGTGCTTGCAGAAAGTTAACATTTTGTCGTCAATAAAATGGAATTCAGTAATTTGTCATATAAGTATTTATCATAAAAGTTATTAAAGACAAAATTACACACTTCACACTTCTAACTGATCATCAGCTTATCTTGGGTAAAACATTTATCTTTTGGTGGTACGTTTACTGCCTAATCGCAACAAGCTTAGTAACTATATGAATTGCCCTAGTAGGAATTGTAACTGGGTAAATATTTTCCAGCGACATGCTGCCCCCTGATCTTTCCATATTCCAGGTTAAATTTCTGTTTGCGCTCCCAACAGACAAACTAATTAATATTTAAATGGGTACGTGATACTTCAAACTTAATAAACAATTCAGCCATTAATGAACAAAGGGAGTCTTATCGGGGTGCGATTGAACTGTAACCCGTTTATAGAATTGCGCCATAAGCGCCCGACCGCTATCCTTAAGTTCCCGAATTTGGGTCCTGTAAACAATACTGGAGCGCACATTTAAATTTCATACTAAGGGGTTATGCTAAGTAACGGTCTGGAATTATGGGTGTTAGAGTATATTATCTAACACTTTGGGTACTAGTTGAAGTTTGTTTTTAAATGCAAATCATGCAGAACTTCAGAAGCTAAAAAAAAAACATTTTTCTCATTTTCCAAGTGGTCTCATTTTCAGTAGTAGATTTGGAAGCTTTCGAAAGACTTGTTATTTCCCAGTACATTTGTGTACAATATTTTCTAAAACTGCACAAAAAAATAGTAGTAGGTAGTAATATTCTGACAAGACACAAGCTCTGATGATTTACGCCTCTAAATACATGATGAAAAATTCTAAAGAACCGGATGTCCGCAATCGGATTTCAATCGATATAAACTTGAAATCTACTTCATCAATTTCAAGAATCGATCTGCTTTTTCTCTCATATATCAATAATTTTATAATATTTCAATTGTCTTTTTGAACTTTTTTTAAGCTGTTCATATGTTTCTTTGAAGTGCAAACGTTTCTTGGGCAAAATAGTTCGCTTACTTATGGGATTACCTATTACTTGAACTTCTTTGGAAAAATCCTAACGCTTTTTGGACACTTCCCAGCAAGCCTATAAATACAAAATGGACTGTTACTAAATTTACTCTGACAACTTCATTAATAAGGGAGCTTTTTCCTGTTTAAGTAACATGTGGACCAATAATCTCAATATGAACTCTTGATTCGATATGATAGTACCTAAGTAAAGTTATAGAAGATAAAAATAGAAGCAAATATAATAATTAGATGGTAAATAAAAACTCATGTGTATTTTGAGCGTCTCAAAGTACGCCACATCTAGAAGCAGCTACTGATGTAGGCCATTCGTAGATTTTGCAGAAACAGCTCTTAAAAGACAAATTAGATGCTACAGTCATGTTCTTTTTTTTCAACTGCGTACACTTCTTACAAAACACACTAACCGGGAAAATTTAGCATAAAATCATCAAATCAAAATCATAAAATATACCGAAATTTACTTTAACGCATTAAAATGTTAATGGTTCATAATGCATTTTATTTTTATTCTAGTACAATCGGTGGTTCAAGGAACAGGTCATGCAAGTGGTGGTGGTGGAAACTCACTTCTGGAAACGTCAACAAGAGGACCGCACTTTGATGCCGCCGCCTCAAAAAATGTTACAGCCCTTCTAGGAAAGACCGCATACCTCAATTGCAGAGTCAAAAATTTAGCAAACAGAACGGTGAGTTGCAAATATTTTAAACTGCATTCAAGCCACTTTTTGTGTTTTAACATTAATTACTAGTTTTTTCTCACATTTTTCAACATTATTAATATTGGTAAAAGTAGTGAGTAAAGCATAAACATCCGCACCTGATACAGATAGTGGAAAATGACAATAACACGAAACGTCGGACATTAATTTGAGGCATTTTTCTTGTCGCAAAATAGACACAAAATTAAGTACTTAATCAGCATACATTTCTTTGTGGATATTTAGTATTCTAATAAAAAAATTGGCATACATCTCAAAAGCGGTTCCCACTAATTTCGAATTTATAATCTTACAATTTAACCCAAACGACGTTTTCAAGTGTTCTAATTTGATGGTGACCGTGATGTTAGTTTGTATAAAATATTTTGAGATTAAAAAAACACTATGCTGCCTGAGCCCTAGATGTTTTGAACTTAAAAAAACACTATAATTTGGTTATATTTAAACCATCATCAAGGCCCAAGTATTTATAGCTGCCGTGTCATACTTTAAGAGAAGGGTTGAAAACATATCACAAAAATGAAACCTTTTGATTAAAAAAAACAAAAAGTTGCCAGCGAATATGTATAGCTATTTCATTGGTTTGGATTCAAATTAAGCCATGCCTTCGAAGTCTAGAAGCAATAGTGTTTTTCTTTTGCAATTTAACTACCGATTAACATCTTCCACATAGAAGATCTTAGACACATTTGAAATTAAGGCGCTACAAAAGTTTATATTTTAGGAACTTAACAATAGTTTCTAGTAATAAAATTATGTACAAATTCATTCGACTCGTTGCGAAATTAAATATTCTAGCTCGACGCACCGGTAAAAAATAATATTATTTACTGCTTGGTAGTTCTGAATAAAAATAATGACTTACTGGAGACGCAATTTATCGTTTCACAACTGTAAATAAATTGTTTCTGATCCAAATATGGTCTGCTTTTACAGGAAAGTGCAAATTATTTCCGTGTAGTTCGAGTGGCAGATAAATTTAAGTTAAGGTGTTTTTGCTCAAAATAATGCTTTGCGACGTCGAGTAGAACCAAACTTAGAAAATGTTTTTGCCTTATAAAACGAGGTACTAAAAGTAGACGGACGTCAATATGATTCCCAATTTCTAGCTCTAAAAACTTAGTATAAATGTTTTGCTGTACAAAATTAGAATGTTGGCAACGCTTGTTTAATATCTGTTACCTTCTATAGACTAAATTTTAAGTTTTGCTGCAAGGCGTGACTTTCGAGGTAGCACGAATAACTTTAGAACCTCGTTCATTTATTTGCCAATTAAATTTGCAAAAAATTCTACATCCCTAGTCGTATTTTGCCATATTACTCCGAAGCTCGACCAAGCCAAATAAGTCCAATTGCTGAAACGAGCTCAATAATTTCTGGATACGTTAATTATTTTGCGTGATTTATAATTTTTGGTACTACAGCAAAAAAAATACAAAAAAATACTGCACAGTGCAGTTGCAAATATTGCAGTTATTTGGTGGAAAATCCATTTAATTTCTATTTTCGCAGCATAAACGTTTTTATAAAACTTTACATTTTTGCAAATTATTTTCACTAATATCGATTTATTTGCCATTAATAATAGTTGATAGTTGCAATTAAATCTAAAATTTGGCCTATCTTGGCAGTTGGCTGACTATGAAAACTAAAAAATGAATTACCGCTACCAATTTTTATTCAGCATAGCAAAACTTCCATTTAATTGGGAATAAACTGATTTATTTGCATTTTTTTTGTTGAAAAAGAGTAAATAATTTCTCTAAACCCTAAAACTGTATAAATTGTGTTGCAAATATTTGTGCAAGAACCGATTTAACGATCGTGTGTTGTTGACAAACGATAAACAATTTCAACCGCGAGTTAATATAAACGAACGATGATAATTAAAAAGTTTACCGTAATTTAAATGTTCGTTCAATCTCCGGTCAAACATTTAATTAGAAATTTAACTGATATATTGATACTTAGAACCATAAACTAACAATGATTGTCACCAATTTGATATATCTATTACTTTCGGTACTGTTTCAAAATTTATGATCTTATAAGTATATTTTTATTTTATGACAGGACATTTTTATTTAATAATTTAATCATTGAGAAAAGCGATCGCCCCAATCAGTATTTCTATTTACTCAAAGTTGCTTTTACTTTCTGGTTTTTGAAACTTGTTTAAATTTAGTAATATTAGAATTGTTATCAAAAACGAGTTAATTTAATTTAATAAGTTTAATTAACTGCCGGAGGGATTCCATCCTAACTGAGAAATCCACAATTGGTAAATGCTGCTGTAATCCTGTAACCAAGAAGATATTTAGTATACATTTATTGATATGTTATATCATGCACAGGTTTCGGATTAAATCCTATTATTTTCAAACAATGCTGAGCGATGCAATTTTATGCTGTTAAAGTAAAATAACTTGCAATGATTTTTCAAGTATTTAAACTCAAAAGAGGCATGGTTTTTATTAAAAGGCCAAAAGAGTCAATAATTACAAACATATGCAGGATGTCGACCCTCAAAAATAATTGCGCCAATAAACCTACAACGAAGCCGTTCCAGCTAAGTTATTGCAATAAAATAAAATTTGCGAAAGAGAAATTCTTCCATGCTTTGTCGGCCACTCCACGTAGTTAGCCGTTTATGCCTAGGACCCCTTTCAATGAAAACCGCAAGCCAGATGGTGCTCGCTGTAACAAATATCGCGTTTAAATCGTGCAAATCTGCAATTTGTACTATGCCAGATTTGAGCACCTAATTGGAGGATTTGTTTTTTCTTGGGTTATGACTGTGTTTCGCTTTTCCCTCTAGTTTTTTTTGTGAGGCGCAATGCGCGTTCAGGTGATTAAACTTGCGATTAGTCCGAATGGCTTAGTTAAATTTGCCTTAATTGGTGATACCAAGTTAATATTACCCGGAGGGGTGATTTTTAATGGCTTTGAAAACGATGAAATTTTTTGGGACCTCACTTTTATCTGAGTTAAGTGAAAGCACAGTTTATGTAAATGGTAGACAATTAGGTGGTGAATTATTGTCAGCCCGGCAATTAATTAAATCTTTTTGACTGAAAGATTTTGATTAAAAAGTCGTGTTTAAGACCAATAAGGCGTTTTCATCAACTCCATTGTTCCAAGTAGGAATACTGCTTTGAATGAATGGCAACGTAAAATCGTACTAAATTATTGATTTGGCAAAAGTAAAGTTTTCTGCAGTACGTAATGTTTGCACATAGAAAGTTGCTCATACGTGTAGTTCTTGAATCGTCTACATTCAGTTAGACTGCAACATTGTCCCCCGACTTCTATGAAGTTCAGTTCCACTTCAGTAAAGTTATTCGGAAATGAATTGGATCAGCCCCAAATTTCCGAGTTTTCTTGGTAAACTCTCGCCTGATTACAGGACCAGAATACTGATATCAATATTTCCTTATAAGTTATGCATCTACAGTTAGTTTTGTTATCTTGCAAGTTTTGTTTAATTACACTATGATTTTCTCACTCTTGCATGAACAGTTTATCTCCAGTTTAAAAAATGTTCGTCATAAATTGAACGTTTTAGAGGACAGTAATTTTAATGCAGAACGTAAAGCACGCATAAAAGTGTGGAAAGCAAACTGGGACGAACAAGCTAACAACTTAGAGAATAATAATACATACTTTAACAACGAACTAAGAAACCTTGAAAAGCACTATACATTTCTAGTGAGTTCCACAAATAATGTTAATTTATATTTGGAAATGTGATTTTCTTACCAAATATATGTATTGGGTTTACTAGGGTGCTCCAAAAATCATTTGTAAATGTAAATTGCACAGATTTTGAACATTTAATTTGATTATAGATCTGTTTCTTGAAAAAAATCTGTCTTTTTCAGGGCTCCAGAATTCAAACATCGTCGCTATTAATTATTATAGTCCATAGTATTTTTTTCGGTCATTCCGCTCTAGGGCTTTCTAGGCTTTTTTCTCTGGGGCTCCGTTTAGAACAAAATCTAATAGAGCTTAAATTTACACAATTTTTACGTAGCGAAAGTATTCATGAAATCTAGAGTTAGGGGGATTTTATAAGGAAATCTCCCACTTGTGCTAAAACACCTAAAATCGGCTTTATAGATGGAGGATAAGTTGAAATATTGAAGACAGTAATATTCGATATAGTGAAATATTAACAAACTAATCTTTCGACAAAATTTAATTTTTCCATAAAGTATCAGGACTTTTCCATAGATATTTCGAAGTGCTTCTTCCAAAACCCTCATAAGCAGGGTTTCGAAAAGTTTCACTTTACAGTTTTGTACACGCCTTGGCGGCTATAAGCATAATTCTTCATTTAATTGGTTTATTTGTCATCTGGTTTCCAATTTATACTTGCATTTACGTTCAATTAAGAGTTATTATTTTTCTGCAAATATTTCCGGGTCTAGATGTTTGAGTGAATCTTACAATTTTTCTCATCAGTTTTCTGCGAATTGAATGGCCTTTTCTTAAATCGAAATTTAATTTATATATAAAAATAGCTATAGTAAATGTAAAAGAAGCTCACAAAAAATATATAAAAATTCGACGTAAAGGTAAATTAACATTATTTGATATATGAAAGAACATTTTTTTGTTTACTCAGATATTGAGTTCACCGGGTTGCAAAACAGCTCTTAAAATAGTTAATGTAACGTTAAAAATCAATGTAACGTCGAAAAGCTTTTCTTCTACATGAACAGGTAAATCGTAGCAAATTCAAAACCGTTTGGTTTAGATTCAACTTTTGCAGAATGCTTTACTAACCTTTAAGTAATATTATTGAAACTGACTTCACTAGTTTTAATAATTACTTTTATCGGGAAAATTGATACCAAAAAAGAAAGATACCAATTATTTGGTAAATAATTGTTTTCTTTACTCCACCAGTGTTAAAAGCATATGATTTGTTTGATAAAATAGCTCAATTAATACAATTAGCTTCG